GACTTCTCACTTCAAACAACCATCACCCCACTATATGTCAGATTCGACTACTTCCACAGTACCTTTACATCTGTGAATCACTCTTCTGTTCCCCCCCCCTCTCGACTTTTTTCTCACTTTGATGTTCCTTCCCCTCTGTGAAGCCTGAAGTCAACTAAAGAGCTAATGATAACTGTCAAAACGCCTGCCATTTGGTATAAATATGTTTGGCTTCATTCAGTCCCACACAAAACATGAATTTCTAAAATAAAGTTGTACTAGCAACTATTAAGTAGTCAAAACGCCTGCCATTTGATATAAATAAATAAATAAACTATTAAGTAGAAACATGAAAAATTTTATAAAATGGTTAGGAAGAACTTTACATGAGTTTCAATGGGGAAATAGATTTGGATCGTAGATTCTGTTAAAAGTTTGTGAGTACATTCCAATATGCAGAACAGCTGGTGGGCTAACATTGAGGATGGTATAACCAAGTTCAGAAGCAATCTTCGAAATATGCTCCCCTTTGCCTGAATGACATGCCATCTTGTAATCTACTTCACTAACTTTTCTGGCAATTTCTTTTGGTAAAATAATTGCAGCTCCAAGACCACGAGAGTGTAGATTCTGGACAGGGAAAAGCGTAAGTATTTCTGGTCTATTATATTCATAAAGTAGCAGAATGATTGTAATTAAAGTAGTGAAGGCCAGCATGTATAAGATCCATTTTTTTCTGAAGATGTGCAACGAAACAGCAAGAGTAAACAGACAAATTATCAACACGAGAATGTGGAAATATATTTTAAGATGACTCTCATGAGATGGTGGGTAGAGACTTAGTACACTTTTTCCCAATCGATTAGCATACAAGTCAAGAACTGAATGAAAATGGTTTGTCACCAAGAAATCATCTTCAAGAATAACAATGGCATCACTTTCAGGAAATTTTTTAATTCCCAATGAAATGCATGATGACATGTCATGAGTATGTTTGCATGAATTGTCTGGATGTCGAGGTGGAGAAATGAAAATATTCGGTCCAAATATCCTACGAAGACGATTTATTTCACCACTATGGATATCGTGGCTGCTATCGTTAACATGGCTGATTGTGCAAACAAGTATTCTAATCTTTCTCACATTTTTGAAGTCTTTTTCATTCCTGGACAACAGTGATTTAAATAGGGCGATTGATGTTTGGGTAAGATAGTAGGGTTCAAATGAATCAATTTTTCTATGTCCACGGTTTGACGTAATAATAATGACGAGTAAGTTGTGTTTTCCTTTGTAATCAAGCATAGTACTTATGTTAAGCGGCAACGTTTTGTTGAGTCTCCACATAGCAATTTGAGAATCCGCTTCTGCTAAGCGTAATTCATCTTGATCTCGAACTTTTGAGGCTATTAGGAGAGGATCCGAAAATAACACTGAAGCGAAAGCAGATTGATAATACAAGATGAGAAATAATAGAAGGATAAAAACAAATCCGAGGAATTTTATCAGAGTTTGCATATTCATGATCTGAAACAGTGAAGGATGTGGCAAAACTTGATTAGTCTAAAAATGGTTTTTACGAAAAAGTGTTGATAGTTTCAAGCGACTCCGGTCTGACAATGGTAGTTAAAAGTACTCATTCAGGCAGTCTTTGAAAATGTATTATTTATAAATCGACGAAGGTCGAAGCGTTTAGGTCGTTTTAAATACCTTATTTCAAAAGAAAGTCTAATACTGACTTACATATTTTTTCCTAACTTAATATTATGTCTTATATTTTGAAATAAATAGATTTATCATTATGAAAAATGTGTGAGACGTAAATGAACTTGAGTGTCTTAGTTTTCATTTGTGACATACTTCCTCGGTAAGTAAACATAGGTCACTCTATTATGCATTATTGTAAAGGCTATAAACTGATCCTTGTACAAAAGTGACTCTAATATTGACCAATTAACAGAATTCATGAAGTTCTTTAAAATTTTACTGAAACTTTAATATGTATAATATAATAATAATACAATGTAATAATATAATATATAAGATAAATTCTAATTATATTGCAGAATCAAAATATAAGTTCGGGAATTTTATGGAAAAATGGTAAGTTAATTCACTCGTTTTTTATGAATTGCTTCTAAACTTTGCAATACTATTGATTCATATATCGTATCATTTAGGCATGAATCTACTTCGAAGTAACCAATAACCAAGTTAACTCATGCTATTTAGTTAACAGTTAGCGGCCTTCGTGATTTAATTTCAGTGACTTAATTTTTGCCTATTCCCTAACCTCTTCCTACATCATGTAAAATAGTTGTGTTAATTTTCATCGAGAGAATGCGACATTCTTTGTGGAAAGTGTGTCATCCCGTAAATGCATAAGCACCTACTTTATTTACTAATCTATGTAATTTAATGGCATAGATAACCTGGTAGAATATTTATTTACTGAAATAGGCTAGCTGCAGTTATTAAATACAGAAAATTAGAAGATAAAGAGTTAAAATTAGTGCTAACACATCTATAGGGCTTATAAATCATGTGGAAAGTGAGGTAAAACGTCAGAATTATTCAGAATAGCTAAATTTGTTCTAGCCGATAAGATAGATGGGATTGACTTTACTTAAAAAATGGGTGTTCGGCAAGGGATATGGAGTTGAATTAATGACTCCGCTGCTGTCAGTGATTTTCACGTGTGCTTCTCTTTCTGTCTTTAAAGGCAGCATACACTGGTTCGAACAATAATGTCAAGTTTCAGCCATTTTCTACATACAATGAAAAATATCGGTTGAATATGGTATTTCAGTTATTCTAGGCAATAAAATTCAATAAGAATGTTTTTTGTCACAATTTGATCCAAAATTATAACTTTTCATTTCGTTTGAAAAATATATATATATATGTGGATTACTAACCGTTTAATTTTCGTTGTATATTAATTGTAATTGTTTTAATGAAAACCAAAAAAACATTAATCCATTCTCAAAACTGAAGTTCAAACATCGAGTGATTTGCTATTTAAGTCACGTTCTATTGAATTACAAACGAGATCCATAAAGCATAGATTTGACTGATGTTATGGGGTCGTGCTTTTCAAACATTCAAAATCCTGAAAGAATCGGTGAATATGCTAGAATCGAAAAATGTCCTACATTAGAGGGGAATGAACTTCACGGTCATGTAACTAAACATATGGATTCATATGGATCAAATCGATCGGAACTGTCAGAGGAAAATAATTTAAATCACGACGTAGTGTATGCCAACTCAGACATACATAATGGAATAGAGAATTCAAGGAAACAAACAGATGAGAATGAACACGAGGAAATGCATGAGTGTCATCAATCTCATTTTAGAGATAAAATTAGTGCATATCAAGACGGCGCTAGTGATTTGCAGCCAGCTCATGTCATGACACCTGAGATGCAGATTAAATCTCCTATTGTCGACCCAAAGAACCTGAGATCTAGAATATTAGTGTCTTCTTTACATGACACTAATACTCTTAACAGAATCTTACATCAACCAGCAGAATTAAAAGGAACTGAAATAATATCACAGCCGTTATTCTGCATGGGGAATATTTCACAGGAAACTATGTTTAATGTGACTCCATTAACTTCTTATATTGCAAGTATGAACTCATTAAATTCTGATTCGCAGAATAGGAGTGCAATTAAATTGTCCAACATGCAGATTGAAATTAAGAACGGGACAAGAAGCATGTCAGATATCAGTTCTTTAAAGAACGTTAAAATCGAAAGAATACGATTCAGGCTCTACTCAGCACCATATGAGTCAGAATGTATTTTTCAATCCTCCTTGCCGGAGAGAGTACTAGATTCGTAGACATAATCTTGAATGTACTTTCCTGAATGGATTCCTCAGCTGAAAATTACCTCTGACAAATATATAATAAACTAATATCCAATTACCGCCTTAGTGACTTATTGGTCAAGGAAACTTTTCATTTCCCTTTTAGTCAAATTCAAATTGAATAGATGTTTCCTTTGAATTCAAAGCCTATATACCAAAATGAAGAACACGATTAAAAGCTACGAAGATCAGATGTCAATCAACGCCTGACGATTCGAAACGATAGCATTACGAAAACATTATCCTTTCTGAAGTGTGAGATTGTGCGTTTGCCAATATAAGCTAAATGTCTTTCGGAATCATCGAAAACCAACAATTACCGACAGCTAACTATGAAATGCTTTTATATAAACCCTACCACTTATAACAGTAAACTAGTATAGATTCCTTAGTTATCTCCGTACTATTCTTATAATGCCCGTAATGACTTAATTTTTATTTGTGCCCACTTGTTATATTGCTTTATTAGATTGTTATGGTTGGTATAACTTTTAGTTTCTGCGGGTAATTTAGTATTTAAATTATCATTGTAACAGCATTAGTTACGTATGCGAACACGTCAAACCGGTCGCCCAATATATATATATGTAATATCGCATCAAGTAAATGCTATTAACACCCACTTGAGAAAACAGACCATTCTCAAATGTAATAAATTTGTTGGACTTTTTTGTTGGCCGAGGAGTCTGGTGTTTGCAAAAATCTTAATATTAGTCAGAAAGCAAATTTTCATCTTTGCAAACATTACTTTGTCAAATTAGTCTAAATTTAATTGTATTTTTAGCATTTCATCATTTTCATAGTATATTTTCTTAATATCTGTAGTCACATCAATTAAGATCGACAAATACTAATTGTACCCGTTTTGCACAAAAGCAAATTTTCAGTTTGCTCTGAAATAAAAAATAAATACCAAATAAAATGTTTTGGGAGCGTTTTTAGCCACTTTGGACGACGCGATTTTAAATTACCAAAAGATATCATTTTTTTGTACTTTAGCGAAGGCGGCTATTCTAACTACAGGTCAAAAATAAATTTGGGCAGATTGCAGTTTTTTCGGCAATATGGTGATGTCAGTCGCCCAGTTATATCAAGAACGCTTTTACAGTGATTCACTTGCTATTTTATCTCACTGGAAAGGCGTTTTGTTACGTTTTGAATATTTGCTATTATATAAAAAATGGATTCCCAGTCTTTTATTTTGTTGCATTGTACATATAGCTTATTGGTATGATCGTATAATTTCCCTAATTTTTATATCCAGGATTCCCATATACCTACGGCTTAATAAGACCTTTGTCTTTACTACATTAATTTGCCTTGCTATAGTATTTGACTTGGGCAAGAACTGGTTGTTCCGAAAAATTGAAGGTAGCCTCTGTTTTCAAATGTAGTAATAATATATTTCAGACTTTATAACATCTTCAACTGGATTTAACTTCGAGGATGAGATAAGAATAGCGATCAAAAATGAGGAAATATACTCTATTCAAGAATTATCATACTATGCTGCTAAAGCATTTAGAAGATTCTTAAAACTTGTGAATATTTTCGCTCCCTATCGGGAAAACCATCCCACTGTGGTGCGTTTATCAAATTAATTTATGCAACGATTTCATTTCTATTTCTCTTTTTAGTTTCTTATATTATCCTGTCTTATGAGTTTTATTGTTATTTGGGTGGGATATTGCGCCAAAGAGCACCATCTTATGTATTTTATCATCAATACCGTTCTTATTTTTCCCGGTCTAATGCATCATCGGATATTTTCGAGAATCTGGGCTATGCTCAAACCCTACATTGATAAACTTGAAGCTGAATTTGACAAGGGTCAGTTGGAGTCGATTGCGGAACGCGAAGCTGGTGAAAAGGAACTGTGGGCACCCATAGCATCTGCTCCATTTTTTAAGAAATCTCCCGGAGCAGATCCTCTTGAAACACCTAAAAGTAGGATTGATAGCTTTGATCCAGATGATTTGGACTCTTCTGAGGCCCAATTTGTTCAGAGTTTCAGTAAGTCATATTTCCTTAAAGTTTCATATTGCTGCCTCGATGATTAGTGATACATCACTTTCGATTTCAGTTCCACATAGACTGCAAATGTCCACGGAGAAGAACAAATTAGCTCTTGATACAATGACACGGGAGATTATGAGCACTTGTCGGAATCAAGATGACATTGATTATTGGTTTGCTGAGGTTACGGAAGATCCTAGAAATGTCAAACGGGGTCATACTGACAGCGGTACAGAAAATAATACCACGCCTAGCGATCAAGTTGTGTTATCGAATGCCAACAGTTTGGACCCTACCTTCAATAGTGACTTCGATTCCGCAGCCTGGGATGAGTTTTCAGTAAGTTTGAGCAATCCTCGAAATAGTTTTATTTTTTGGAAAGTACTACTCGGGTTAAATCTATTTCGGTTTGCAGGTAACATTGCACGGTACCTTTAGCACATTCTCTTTCATTTTTTCTGCTTTCCGTCTTCTTTTCATTTAACTCTAAAATAATGCATCATTCGCTAATGTTTTCATATTTCAGTGTCTTGAAAGTGTTAAGTCTTATTTGTGGAATTATTCGAGGCCGTTAATAGGTGAAATTGATTACTTTTACCCATCAGTCAGTCTTTTCGTTACCTGTCGGTTTCTGTGTCTCCTTTGTTAGCGTTACGCATGAATAGAATCAATACTGGTCACAACTAATGGATTATTGATATAAAAGATTTGCTATGATTTTTTTTCCCATTTTGACACTGCACATCTTGATCTCGTTACTATTGCAATGACGTTCTCACTTCACGAAGTTTTGAGAAATAATTAAATCCTCGAAATAGTCTAATGGAGAATAAACGTAGGTCTTTCATATCATAGTCTATTTCTATTTATTAAAGTATGTTCTGCCATGCAACTTGGCTAAATAACCTCATTAATATTCTTTTGTGTGATTTGTGTACGACATCATGCTTTCACTTCATTGTTTACAATCATATACCATTATTTCCAGCCCAAATCAGGTTTCAACTGGTTTGTGTCAGGGAAATTTAGATTAAATGATGGTTTTCCCTGCCGGAGTAAATTCTAAAATAGTAAAAGATTTTTTGTTTCCAATTAACATCTAGTGATCTACATGCTTGTGGAAGCCTATCTTCCTTGCCTTTAAACATTTAATTTTGAAATAAAGGGAATATTTTAGTTATCTGTTTGAGAAAGCGAGGGCGCTTGTAGAAGGTTGTTAGAATTTTGGAGGTTGGACGTATGGATGGTCTATCTTTCTGCATATCATCACAATTCTTTGTCCTTGTACTTGGTTATCTATTGGTTTGGTAAATCATTTACTTTCGGGTCTATACAGTTTGCCATTTGTGACCCACCTGGTTCGATGTCCAGCCCTAAAGACAACGACGGAAAACCAGAGATACTGGGAAGCAAGAAGACAGCTAATGAATTGCTATTAATTAACTGCTATAAATGTAAGAAGCAAGAAGACAGCTAATGAATTGCTATTAATGAACTGCTATAAATGTAATTAAGCCAGATACGGGGAAGCAAGAAGACTGCTAATGAACTGCTATTAATTAACCGCTATAAATGTAAGAAGCAAGAAGACAGCTAATGAATTGCTATTAATGAACTGCTATAAATGTAATTAAGCCAGAGATACTGGGAAGCAAGAAGACAGCTAAATGAACTGCTATTAATTAACTGCTATAAATGTACCCCCCTTCATGAATTGCTATTAATTAACTGCTATAAATGTACCCCCCCCCTCTGGGGGAAGCTGAAGTCAAAGTTTAAGGGCTAATGATAAATATCACAAAGCCTGCCATTTGAAGTAATAATAATAATAATAATAAAGTTTGCCATTTGTCGACAATTAGGATTTGATGCTGATGTTGGGCCGAGCTATCTAGTTATCAACTAATATAAGTAGTTACTTTAATTGACACGAATACTCCTTGGTTTCTTCCATCCTCTCTTAGCAAAGCAGTTCTCGACGTTCATGCTGTAACATTGTATACAAGGTAGCTTTTCGGACGGTACACTCGAACAAAGGCGTCGACAGTTCTTCTAGGGGTATCGTCAAACTTCCACGGCCCCTCACGGCACCTCCGATCTTAAGCTGTCGTCGCTATCGTCACCAGAATAACAATAAACAACCCTCTTCCCAAATAGCACCTATTTCTCCTTTACATAGGTGCCAACTTTTCACAATCACAGATGTCATCCATCGCCACTGTCATCCACCCCTAACTAATCAATAATATTTTTTAGTTAACCTCATTCAACAGTTCGTGGAACTGCTTTCGATTCCTATCTTTGTATAAACTGTGATATATTTTCATACACACCAAGGGCTTTATTTCGTATCTTCTTTGTTTTTATTTTAAGATATCGCTTCAAGGAGGGGGGGGGGGGCTGTTTTAGTCACGTGTTGTTGGCATGAAGGGGGAACTGATTTGATTATTTTAGTGCGCTTCTTTGACTTTCTCTTCATCCCAATTTTATGGACAAATTGTAATAAAAACGTTGTCTTTTTTCACGTTTTAACTTCTAGTAAAAATTTCCTCGTTGGTAGTTAAGCGACTTTAATTGCTTGGTTAGTAACTTCTCTCATGTGCTGTTTTTTACAAGTAAATCACCTCAAGATAAAATATATTTGTTATTTTTTTTCAAATTTGAACAAAGCACCTTTCTTTATATAAAGATAATTAGTCGTGTATCAAAGGTATCCTACTTCATTTGATTTTAAATCCAGTTTAATTCACTCTTCATATTCCCGAGTTTAGTGCTCCTAATTGGTCTTCTCGATTGCGAAGTGAATTCATCTCCATTGTCCATTATTGACCTTACCACCGGAGTCCCTTTACTGTTACCACAAATTATTTATATCAAATGGCAGGCGTTTTGATGGTTACCATTAGCCCTTTAGTTGACTTCAGGCCTCACAGAGGGGAAGGAACATCAAAGTGAAAAAGTCGAGATGGGGGGGGGGGGNAGGGGGGAGAGAAGAGTGTTTCAAAGATGTTAAATAGACAGACACAAAGGTAGAGTGAAAAAGGTAAGATGAGTACTGTCGAAGTAGTCGAATATGACATACAGTGGGTGATGGTAGTTTGAAGTGAGAAGTCAACTGCACCAAGTGGAGGTAAGTCTATTGCACACCCCTTACCACAAATTATTAATGCTTTCATTCACTTTGATCAGTGTGTATTGTTAAAAATAAGCCTTAGAGTTTTGCCAATGCATTGGAAACAATTAAGCTATATTATTTTTGGCCCTACTCTGTTTGCAATGTGCCAGTGAGTTGTCGTCGATTTGATCTGGTTCCAAACTGAGATGGTGCCGCAGCCTCATCTTTGTTTAGATTCGTTAGTTCGAGTAATGAGACGAAAGTTCCGCTACAAATGACACGTGATTGGCTACCTTGTTAGGCATTAATTAATGTGTCAATTGCATGGTTCCATGAGCGCAGAGCGTAAAACCAGCTATCAACGTATCAGCATTTGAGGCTAAATTTGTAGGATCATAAAAGCTTTGTACTGGCAGCGGTAATCAACTTGTTTTATCCCCTTATTAACCCCCCTTCCATTATTGTTTTTCAAGGTGCCAAGATGTCAGCTTTGTACGCAGTTGTCACGCTCTTTCACAAAAGCTGATTAGCCTTTGCACTTGTTGAAATGTTGAGTTTTTTTTTGCGAGTTGCATTCCACCTCATTTGTTTGATTTATCCCCAAAATTGTGTCCAACAGGAAGATATTGTCATTTCTGTTGCATAATTTTTTTGCTGTTGAAAAGGTGTGTGCATGTTACTCCCTTTTTTTGCTGTAATCAGGTTTGTATGCTGTAAAATGTGTGTTTTGAACAATTTCATTGATCGATTGATTACTTTCCTATTTTTTATTAACTTATTGAGTCTTTAAGGTTGCCACTCTGGGAGCTATTTCATTACCTCTATGTAATGCATATATATACCTTCACGAAATGCGCACCCCCTTTTCAAAAAGTTAACTAATTTTAAGTTTATGTCTACATACTCCTTGTTAGACTTCAGGACTTGTGCCAACGCTTGATTCTGGCATTGAAAAATACACAATTTTATGTCTTCTCCTTGACTATTTGCTTTGTAATAAACTCATTTCCATTGTAATATATTTACCCGGCGTGCAAATCTCTTTCTAAAACCCAGATTGCATGATTTGTCACGTGGATTACTTGGCGACTTTCTTTTCTGCAATATTTGTTTTGAACTTGTATACCATGCATCACCATCAATCTAGGAACTCACCTTCGTTTTCCATTAATCCCCACCCTCCATCCCAAAATGGAATTAACTCCTCACTCAATCAAAGCGTCCTATAGTAACTTTGTGATCCTAATCGAGTAAAATGCATTTCTAAATAATAATTGCCTCTTGCAGCATGGAGCAGGAGGCGAATTGGTGTGATAGAAATTAATTCTATAGTGAAATCTCTACGCGTTCATATGTACGATTCTGATTTGACAAGTGATATGACTTCAGGCTTCAAAGAGGAGAAGGAACATCAAAGTGAAAAAAAGTCGATAGGGGTGGGGGTGGGAACAGAAGAGTGCTTTAGAGACAATGGTAGAAAAGGTATGATGAGTACTGTTGAAGTGGTGGAATATGACATACAGTGGGTGATGGTGGTTTGAAGTGAGAAGGTAACTGCCGATTAATAGACTTTTTGCCGTATGAGTACACGTTGCCCAGAGTGCACCACATGGAGGTAAGTCTATCGCGCACCCTTCACTGTGATATATTGTTTTGATGAGATTTACTCAGCTCCATATAATCGCATTGCCTCAATTGAGTGAATTGAGTTACTTAATTAACGGGAATAGAGGTACTTTAATTGATTGCAAATGAACTCATCATTTCACTGTAGTTACTGTTAGTATTGAGGGCTTTCTGGTCATGAATGAGTGCTTCTCCTTAGAACGGCTCTTCTTCCCAAGCCAACTGTTGCAAGAACTTCTGA